CGAGGGGCAGAGACAGAGAGGGGAACGCAGCACAGAGCGGGGGCAGAGCGAGCGGGAAGCGGTGCCCGGCGCGGGGCGCGGAGCGGTGCCGCTGCCCGGCTGGCGAGGGCGGCCAGCCCCGGCCCCAGCCCCGGCCCCAACCCAGCGCGGCGGCTCCCCCGGGCCCGCGGGTGTATGTGTGCGCGGGGCCATGTCGTATCCTCAGGGCTACTTGTACCAGCCGTCTGCCTCCTTGGCTCTCTACTCGTGCCCGGCGTACAGCACCAGCGTGATTTCCGGACCCAGGACCGATGAACTTGGGAGATCTTCTTCGGGCTCCGCTTTTTCCCCTTATGCCGGATCTACCGCCTTCACCGCCCCGTCCCCGGGTTACAACTCGCACCTCCAGTACGGCACGGACCCGGCCGCCGCCGCCGCCGCCGCCTTCACTTCCTACGTGGTAAGAGCAGCACCGGGCAGCGCACCGCGCCGGGCACGGCACCCCCTCCCACGGCCCCGCTTTTTGTTCCCGTTCGATTTCGGGGCTCGCGGGGACAAAAGGCGGCGCGGCCCCCGGCCCCGGCGCGCTCCTCCCGCACCGCGCAGCGCTGCGGACACGGCCCGGGGAGAGCGGCCGGGGCCGAGCCGGGCCGGGCGGCATCGCGCGGGGCAGCGGCAGCGCCGGAGGGACCGCTCCCGTTTCCCCAACAAGAGCAAAAATTATCTATTTTTGATTATATAGAAGAACAGACTGAGCGTCTGAAATCCGCAACCGTTTTCTTGTTGCGGTGTAAAGGGGAAGGAACCGACAGCGGCCGGAGGTGGTTGAAATGCGGCCGGTGAGCCCGGCAACTTTCCCCGCTAATTGCGCTGCGATGGGCCCCGGGGCGCTCCGCCGCCGCACCCGAAATAAAGCCGGGGGTCGTTGCTCGGCTCCTCTGCTCTGTTCGCGCTTCAGGCGGAGTTTCCTTGAGTTATTTCCCTTTTTCTCGTTTATTTTTCATTTTTATTTTCCCGGCCTCTTTTCTTTCCCCCTCCCGTTTGCTCTTTCCTTTTCCCTTTATTCCCGGCCCGGCAGGTTGTCCGCCGCGGCGGCAGCCCCGGGGAAACCGGGGGCAGCGGGGAGGCACTGAGAAGGAAAACAGCGGGAAGGCAGCGCCGCGCTCCCGGCCGCGGGGCAGAGGAGCGGGGTTCCCTCGGGGCCGGAGCCTTCCGGCCGTTCCCGGCTCCCCCCCCCCCGGGCCGGAGCGGCGCTGCGGGGCGCTGCGGGGCGCGGGCAGGCCCGGCTGCCCTTGCCGTGTCATTGCCGCCCGCCACCGCCTCGCCCCGCGCTCACGGCCGCTCTGCGCTCTCTCCGCAGGGCTCTCCCTACGAGCACCCCCCGGCCATGGCGGGCTCCCTGGGCTACCACCCGTACGCGGCGCCGCTGGGCTCCTATCCCTACGGGGATCCCGCGTACCGCAAGAACGCGACGCGGGACGCCACGGCCACGCTCAAGGCCTGGCTCAACGAGCACCGCAAGAACCCGTACCCCACCAAGGGCGAGAAGATCATGCTGGCCATCATCACCAAGATGACCCTCACCCAGGTCTCCACCTGGTTCGCCAACGCGCGACGGCGACTCAAGAAGGAGAACAAGATGACCTGGACCCCACGGAACCGCAGCGAGGACGAGGAGGAGGAGGAGAACATCGACCTGGAAAAGAACGACGAGGACGAGCCGCAGAAGCCGGAGGAGAAGGGGGACCCTGGCTCTCCGGACGCAGGTAGGCGGTGGGCCGGGGTCGAGGGGGGGGTACGCGCCCTCGGGGCTGCCCGGTGCGCCCGGACGGGGAGCGGGCGGCGCCGCGCGGGCTTTGGAGGCAGCTGCGGGGCCCTCGGGCCGCCCGCCGAGCCGCCCCCCCACCCCCGTCCTTTCCCCCGCAGGAACGGCGGAACCCAGGGCCGCGCCGGGCTGCGAGCGTCTGCAGGAGCCCCCCAGCCCGCGGGAGGCCGAGGCCGGCCTCAGCGACTCGGATTGCAAGGAGCCGCCGGAGGAGCGGCTCGACGGGCCGCCCAAAGCGCCCGGCGCTTCCCCGCTGGGGCCGTGCCCGGGGGGCCGCGGTCCGGGCCCCGAGGAGCCCCTGCCGTTCCGGCCGCCCTCCGCCGCCGCGGGGCCGCCGCACGTCGCCGAGCCGCACCCGCTGCCGCCCGCCGCCGCCTCCGTCATCCACTCGCCGCAGCAGGCGGCCCTCGCCAAGCCCAAGCTCTGGTCGCTGGCCGAGATCGCCACCTCGGCGGACAGGGCGAGGGAGGCGGGCGGCGAAACGGCGGCCCCCGGCCCCGCCGTGCTGGGAGGCAGCGGCCCCCCGCGCCCCTCTCCGCCGCGGCCCCGCTCGCCGCCCGCGCAGTGCCCCTTCCCCAACGGGGCGGTCCTGCCGCGGCCGCTCTACTACACGGCGCCCTTCTACCCCGGCTACACGAACTACGGCTCCTTCGGGGCCCTGCACGGGCACCCCGCCGGCGGGCCCGCCGCGCCCGGCGCCGCCTTCAATGGATTAAACCAGACTGTGCTGAGCCGGGCCGAGGGGCTGGGGAAGGAGCCCAAGGCGGCCAGGAGCCAGCCCCAGGCGGAGCTCGGCAAGGACTCGCCTTACGAACTGAAGAAAGGTATGTCCAGCATTTAATGTCGGCTTCCCTCCTTCCCCCGCTGGGACTGTACTTCGGTTCTTTTTCTTTTTTTTTTTCTTTTTTTTTTTCTTTTTTTTTAATTTATTGAAAGAAATAAGAAATGCCGCGGCAGTTATTTTTCCACTACCAAAAGAAAGGCAAAAACGAAACAAGCGGCGCCGAGTGGGTTCCCCCCCCCGCGCCCGCAGCGCTCCCCGCGGCCCCCACGGACGTTTGTACGGATCCCTCTGTATATTTAATGTAGCTTTTGTATTTAAATTGATAATACGGTATCTTTGAAGTAAATTATGAAATCGAGACACCTGTACAGGCATTAATGTTGTTTTCGTAATATAAATATATACATTTCTGTGTCTTTTTCCGAATTGTTTCATAGTTTTAAAAATATATATATACAAGTTTAATTTATTTTTTTATGGCTAGTGTTTTTTTTTTCCCCTTGGGCGTGCGCTAAACTATAACGAGAAAAGAAAAAAAAAAAGGGCAAAGAGGAACGGGTCCCACTTCTGGGATCCAGCGCTCGTTGGGAAGTGGGCGGGCGGCACAACGCAGCCCCACTCCGGCGTTCTCTTCCCGCAGCGGGCGCGGGGCCGATCCCGCACGTAACCTCATTACCCGCAATCAGTGCCGCGTTTCACGCGAAGCGATCCGCTGCTCAACTTCGCTAATGAGTTCGATTTTCTGCCAGATTTCCCCTCGCTGGCGGTGCCCGGGGCCGCGGCCGCGGGGGCAGCGCTCGGGGCCCCCTCCCGGGCCCGCGGTGCTTGCGGGCGGCGGCAGGTAGGGGTCACACTCGGCCCGGCTTTGGCGCCCGCCCGCCGCCGCGGGAGCTCCGCGCCGCCGCCCGCAGTCCCGGAGCGCTCCGAGCCCCGCGGTGCGCCGGAGGCCGAGGCGGGGGGCGGCGCCCAGTGCCCGCGGGAGCCGAGCGACCCGGTCCGGCGGAACGTCGCTTCGGGAGGAGGGCGGCCGGGGACCGAGAACGGCTCTGGTTTGCGCCGGCCGGCCGGAGCGGGGGGTGTCGGGCGGAGGCGGACACGGAGGGAACGTTCCCAGCGGCGGGCAGCCCGCTCCGTTCCGTTCGCGTGGGATTTGGTTCGGGTTCGTTTCTTGTTTTCTCTTTGTTCTCTTTTTTTTTTTTTTTTCCTTGTTTTTTGGGGTTTTTTTATTTTTTATTTATTTATTTATTTTTTCTAATCCGGATAATTGTTCTGTGAGCCCTTCAACTTTGTCGGAACCGTTCGGTGGCCGGAACGGGTTTATTCACGCGTGTGTGCGTGTTACGGGGCTTTGAAAGGTCCTTCGTGTGTCACGTCTGAACTCCTGGGTACCCGAGTGGTGCGTGCAATCTCGTTTGAAATCAAAATTGTTCCGACCTGAATGTGTGAAGACTCGAATTTTCCAGGGACAACAATAGGTTCTTTTGTCCCTTTATAAATTCTACAAGAATTTTTACCGCCCGCTCCGACCCGCGCTCGGATCCCGCACTCACAGTGCGAAGCTCCGCGCCGGCCGCGTTCCGCGCAGGAGGAGCGCAGCGGCCGCGGGGATGGGGCTGTGCGGGGCGGCCCGGGTGGAACTTCCCATGGCCGGTGCCGGCAGTGAGGAACCAAGAGGTTCCCAACGGGTCCGGCCGAAAGGGGTTTCGTTTTTCAGCGAGCGGGGACGGATTTGGTTTAATGCCGCTCTACCTTTTCCCAGCTCACCTCCCTATCTCTAAGAAAGTCGCTCCGCACGGCAGCTCCGGAGCCCCGCTCGTTCGGTAGCCCCGTTCCCTATCACCGGGGTTGCTTTCGGCGGGTCTGTCCGCGGTATCAGTACGATTTTCGTTTGATATATAAATTCCACCGGGAATTTCCCATTTCCCTCAGGTCGCGGCCCGTCGCTCATTTAAATCATAACCATTCCTGCGGCCTCACCGCTTTTCCCCCCCAGTTTGCCTTTTCTCTGTCCCTCTGCAGAGGGGGGCGGGGGGGCCGGCGCTGCCGTTCCTGCTTTCTCCTTTCTAACAGCAAGGGGAGAGAGGGGGGCAGCCCGCCCTTTCTGCTGTGCTATGTCAATTTGTTGTTCGAAAACAAACCAAAACAAAACATTCTGAGGACACTTAAAATACAACTAACGGGAGCCAGTGCGGATTCCCGGGAGCAGCGTCTGCGGGGCCGCAAGCAGGGCCAGGCCGGCAGCATTAGCAGCAGTAACAGCAGCAGTAACAGCAGCAGTAACAGCAGCAGTAACAGCAGCAGTAACAGCAGCAGTAACAGCAGCAGTAACAGCAGCAGTAACAGCAGCAGCAGGTGCCCGGCCCGGGCTGCAGGTGGCGGCGGCGCAGCCCCCGAGGGCCGCCCGCTCCCGCCGGGCTCCCGGCATCTCCGCGAGGGACCGCGGAGCCGCTCTGCCCCAGTCGGGGCCCCTCAGGGAACGAGAGGAGCTCCTGCGTGCGGCCGCTCCGGGAGCCTCAGGCACTGGAGTAGGGGCTGCCCCGGGGGAGCCCCGCAGGTACCCCGGACTGAGGGACCGGGGTCGGCTGGGGGCAGTGGCCCCCCCCGTCCCCGTCCCCGGGCAATTTCTCAATGGCTCACGGCGACGAGGCGGGGAGCCCAGCGCAGCCCCGCTGCTTCCTCTTCCACGCTTAAAACCAAAACAAATCCAAATTCAGACGCCCGCACCTCAGGCGTGTTCGCAGCCCCCCTCTCCCCGGTTGCGTCCTTTCCCGTTTATCTGCTCCACGGGCCGGAGCCGGGGAGAGGCTCTCACGGCGGCCGCGAAGTGCCCAGTCCCGCCTGGAGCCACGGCACGAGGGCAGGGACGACGGTGTCGCGGGGGGGCGGCCGAAGGAAGGAGAGATGGAGTGCGGTGTGGAGCTGCCCGAACCCGGGTTTGGCCGCGGGCAGAGCCCAGTGCGGGGCCCGAGTCCCGGGAGCTCCCCGACCCCGCAAGGTTAGAAGCGGGGGCACCGCGGGCGGCCAGGAACGAGTGCCCCGGAACCTGCTGCCTTCCATCCGAGAGCTGCGGTAATAATTCCCCGTCCCCCCGCCGGTTCCTTTAAGATCTGCCACAAACACATCAATGGCCCCGAAGAAGGAGCTTTGGCGGAGAACAAGTGGCAGTTCTGAATTTACCTTTTGTGTGCGCCTCAGATGCAATCTTAAGGCATTTTTTCCCCTCTCTTCCACAGAAAAAGAGCGTTAATCTGCCCCATCTCGGGGCCCGAGGATCGAAGCGGAGGAGACATTCACTGCAAGCACGTAGGGGAATAAGGGTCTCGCTTTATTGAATCATCAAATCCCAGGAACGAAGCTCTTAATTAATTATGGGTGCTAAAAATTCAGGCCAGCTGCTTCTTTTTACTCGGGTCTGACAGAGAAAGACAAAGTCTGCGGCGAGCTCCTCCGAGGCGCTCCGCATAAATCAGCGCTCCCGGCCCGCGGGGACAGATGGCGCCTCGGCCCCGCGCCGCCCGCATTCCTCCACCGCACCGCGGCGGTGCGGGAGCGCCGGCCCGGCTCGGCCTTGTCCGATGGTGCGGCCGCGGGAGCGGCTCCCGTTCGCTGCCGAAAGGAGCGGCAGAACCCCGCGGTGCCCGCGGCCGGCGCTGCTCGGAGCCCTACAACCGGCGGGTCCGGGCCCCAGACCGACGGGCTCCGCGCCGCGTCACCGGGCGGCCGTCGGCGGTGCGGGCCCGCAGCTCGTAGTCCGGCGCCGCGTCCCGACCCTGCGGGGGTCCGGCCCCGCACCTCTCCTTGCCGCCGCCATCGGCTTCTATTTGCTTAAAGCAAACCACGGCCCTCTCCTCGCTCGCGCCTGATGGATGCAAATGTAAATGTGCACTTATTTAATTGGATCGGGTCCCAAGATAAAAGAGATAAACGGCTCCCGGTTTGCCAAGTTATTTTCAGAGGCACGCGGTGCCGTGCAGAGGGAAAGTTAATGAAGAGGAGCGGCCGCCCCGCGTCGAAACGGCTTTCTCCGGCCGCGGGGGGCCCTCGGGCCCGGCCTCACCCTGCGGAGCCCCGCTCCCCCCGCCCCGGCCGACCCCCGCGTGCGGGAGCACCGCAGACGGTATTGATACCAACATCGGGTTTGTCGCTAAAGGCCTTCCAAAACAAATTCTCCGGCTGAATGCCAACGCGTGCGTGTCGGCCGGTGACAGCTGATTAGTGAAATGATTTACGGCCAAGTTAAAAAAAATTGATATTGTCAAAGGCTGCAATTTGAAGGGAAAAAAAAAAAAAAAAAAGAGTGAGAGAGAGAAGGCGGCTCAGCCTGCAGGGCTTCCACCGCAGCGCCAGCCCACCTCACACCACGAGCACCTGCAGCCCTCTGGGCCCGGTGGGCTGCACTGCACGGAGCACAGCCCGGCCCTGTCCCCTCACTGCCTGCCCACGGCATCACCTGCAGCCCTGCTCTGCGGCCTTAGGCCACCTTTTTGTTTCGAGACTTTTTTTCTGCTCATTAATTGATTAAAAAATCCCCCCTTCCCTCATTTCTCTGCAGCTCTTCTTCATAAAGAAAGCTTTTGCTCCGCAATAAAGTGAGAGACTTTGATCCCAGATCATCCTCTTAGGCCTTCCAGCTGAAATCAGTGGAGAAACTATGTGGAGTTATTGTTCGCACTTGCTGCACTTCTGATTCAGAAAGGGCTGATTTATTAGCTTGTCAAGGGAAGCATTGTTCAGGAAGGCAATCAAAAAGCACTTACCTAGCTAAACTAAAATTACTGCCTTTTCAGTGGCTAATTTGTATAACTCCCATGGAGGAACTTGGGAAGTGTTTGATGAGGCATAAAATGATGATTAATGAATTTATTGGCCTGCTGCTCATCAAATAGGAGTAGTATATCTTTCCTCTATTGGGCGTTGGGGCTAATGCTACGTGGCTGTGTAAAGCAAGTCCAATATGATCTCCTTTTTAGCCCCCTTTTAACCCCCGTGACCTGAAGAATATCTCCGTGTAACAGAGGCAACATCAGGGGAGCTCAGAGACAAAGAGCCCGTTTGAT